CCCCCCCCCCCCCCCCCCACCACCTGTCGTTGCTTGGGGAGAGAAAAAAGAAGCTTCCCCTCCCCCCCCCCCCCCCCCCCCCCCCCCAGTGTTTCTGGAAGGAACAATGGCTTCCCTCCTGGGTGCAGACAGAAGTTGCGTATGGGTCTGCGAGTGCACATCATGGACCTGCCCCTGAGCTTCCTGGCATGGCCCCCCCGGGTCAAGAGGACATAGCCGTGGTTTACCTATGTCTGGACCTATCTCTGGGCGCACTGTGGGTGGCCCAGTGTCACCTGGGGCACTCAGCCTGAGACGCTCTCTGCCCCCAGAACGTGCTGACCGCCATCTTGCTGCTGCTGCGTGAGCTGGACGTGGAGGGGCTGGAGGCTGTGTACCAGAGTGCGAGCAGCCGGCTGCAGGCCCTGCACAGGCCGGAGCTAGAGGACAACGTGGACTGATGGCAGTGAGGCTCCATGTGCACCTTGGTGCCCACCTCAGCTCCTGGGACAGGGGGACTAATGCACCACCACAGCCTCAGCCCTACCTGGAAACACTACCCTCTAGGTTTGCCACCCCAGCCAGGGCAGGAGGGGGCAGCAGGTGGAGAAGAGCCTTTGCTGGGGCTGGCAGGGACAGCAGACTCCTAGACACTGGGACTGTCTAGGCCTCCCACAGGGCCAGGGGACTGGGCTTGGCTCAGCTCTTTGAAAATAGGCTTTGAGCCATCTTCGTTAATAAAACAGACAGGTAGCAGCCATGGCCTTGGCACTCTCTGAGGTAAGTGCCATTTCTCAGCAGAATGACACGCTCCTGGGCGTTTGTGCCCTTTCAGCCTGCGACTGCATGACTTCCGTTATCCACAGGAGGCAGAAGATGTGTTTCCGTGACCGGGCTTTGCCTTCCTCAGTTATTAAGTGTCTGCCATTTTGCTGGTCCAGCCTGGGGACCATAGATTGACAGGTCCTTGGCTGGGGACTCAAGTATGGCCACACGGGCAGTGGATGGAGAAGACAGCCTCTGAGGAGAGTTGAGGGCTACCAGGATGCGGGGCCAGACTGTGATGCCACAGCCCTGGGGCTGGGCCACTGGGGAGAAAAGCAGGCTAGAAGCGCTCAGGGTGAGGGGGAGTGGATGTTGCCTCTATCCCTTCCTCTGGGCAGCTCCAGGTTCATGTCCCCACACAGGCAAAGAGGTGTCAGGTAAGGTGACAGCTGCACTACTGCTAGCAGGTGACAGCAGCAGGGTCAGGAAGGCCACCTGGGGAACATGCAGGTTGTCATGACCCTACCTGAGGGTGAAGCTCTTCGAGGTGCAAGTGATTTTCCAAACAGGCACTGCTGTGTGTGCTGGACTCGGGGAAGGCGCAGGGTGACAGCAAGTGATTTATCTGCAGCTCTTTGGTATGGTCTACAGAACAGCATGACTTCTGAAGGGGGAGGTAAGGAGTCCCCACACTGGGGACATCAAGGAGGGGGTTGCTGGACTGTGTCTGCCACCCCGTGACAGTGGGCTGTTGGATGCTCTCAGTAAAGCATTGTCTCTGTCAGAATGACTGGGAGTCATGTCACATTAGGATTGCCCCCTTTCACTCCCCCCCGGCATGGGGGTTCCCACTGGCTTCTCTCCTGTCCTGTCCTTGAACAAAGCCCAGATGCTGATGAGCCACTTTACCACATCCCCCTCCCTGTCCCGGCACCTGAGTCGGCCTCTTGTTAGCTGGCTTCGCCGCCCCACGGCCTGCTGGATGGAGAACCGGTCCTAGCCTAGAATCCATGACACCCTGGTTTTTACAGTGGCACTTACAGTCCCCATTCTGACCTCTCCCCAAGTAGCCCCAAAAGTGAGGTGCCCAAGCAAAGCAGGTATTGGCACCACCCCATGTGTGGCTCAGTTAGCCACGGTTCACAGATGAGAGGACTGATGCCTAGGACACACCACTAAGCTAGAGACGCTGCCTGCTGCCTGAGCGGGGCTGGACACCTCTCAGCGGAGCTGCTGTCCAGGAGCCAGAGTGGCCACTCTGTATCGGGCATCACTGAGAGCACCTGGCAGGTCACTGGGTGGTGCAGCTCCAGACGGGCTCAAACACCTAGTATGGCAGGATGAACTGAGCAGCTTCCACTCAGAACTGCCCTGACCCAGGTGAGTAGCACAGACCAACCAGGCCCGGCTATGGCCAGAACCGGGGGCTGACTGGTGGGCGCTGGGGCTGCTCAGATTCAAGGCGATAGCCCTGTCTCTCCTACTGCAGTGCCCCCCAGCAGTCCCCCTCTTCCATACGCTTCCCTCCTGCAATGTCTTTGGGAGACGAGGGAGTCTAGGCGTTGCTCTTTGTCTCACTGACTGGGCAGTTCCCATCAGGGGGGCCATGGTAGGGTGCCCTCAGATACAGTGGCATTTTCTGGCTTTGTCTTGCAGCTCCACCAGGATTTCCCAGACAGATCCTGAGATTCTTGGTAATTGTGGACGAGGGTCACTGCATGTTCACTTTGCTCAGTTTCCAAAAGTCCCGTCGCTGGGTCTGGTCCCAATATCCCTTGAAGTTAGGCATTATCCCATCCCTGCAGGGGCATTCTAAACCCACACCATCACTGTCCTCCGTGGAAGGCAGAGCCGGGCATCACAGCAGTATGATGGGTGGGAGAGCAGCCCCTCTTGACAAGATGCAGCCTGAGACACTGTCTCTCCTCAGGCCCCAGGGTCAGGTGGGACTAGAAGACAGACCTGTGACACATACACAGTGGTGAAGGGCGTGGGTGATTCCACTCTGCCCGTCCGAGTCCGCTGCAGTAGGAATTCCAGCAGGTGTCGAGGAACAGGGAGCAGCCCTCTTCTGCAGTCAGTGCCAGCTACTACCGTGCACAGCAGTGAGCAGAGCTCGGGCTCAACGTGCACAGGTCCTGGGGTCCCCAGGGGCAGGTTCTGAGGTGGTAGCCATGGCTGAGTCTATGTTTCCAGCGAGCTCCAGCCCGAAGAGCCAGGTTGCCTGGTGGGCTCGGCCCACTTTCCCTTTCTCCCCACTTGTCCACCCTACCCGTCTCCTGGGACACTGGCTCCCAAGAGCCACTGGCCCACAGTTCTGAGACCCTAGCCCATGCTGAGCCAGGTGGACCGTTAGGGTCAGACGTGGGCCCCAGACCAGAAGAGTGAGGCTGGAGTCCCTCTTTCCCCTAGGTGGTCCTGGAGAGTGAATGACCAAGAGCATGTGTCCTGCGGTGTCCCTCCCATCTTCCCTCAGCGCCACACAGCCCAGCCCACCTCCCTGGCAGCCCCCACGGCATGCGCTCCAGAAGCTGGTTGGGTTCCCTAGTCAGTGATTTTATTTCTAGAAAAGGTGACAAATGTTGCCTTAGCCACAGGGGCCAGTATGGACAGGAGCAGGGCACAGTGAGGCCCACATGCGGACGAGAGGTCAGCAACATGGGCACGCCCGGTGTGAGATGCCGAGGGCCAGCAGTGTCCCAGGGCCTGCCAGGAAGGCAGGATCCCAGTCAGTCTGTCCTGGAGGGGGCTGGGCAGCCAGGTCTCGGCAGCCCACCCACAGGGCTTAGTGGACAGTTGGTGTTAGAGACTGGGGCCATGAATCAGGCCCAGCAGGGCTGTGGCACCCCCATCCCTACCCCTACCCTGCAGGCTTCAGGAGCTGCCCAGGCCCCTCTGGCACCAACTTGGTACCAGGAAGAGGGAGGAGAGGCCAGGCTTAGAAGCCCTTCTCGATGCTCAGGGTGCGGCGGGTGACGTGCTCCAGCTCCCCTGACACGTAGTCCGCCATGCTGATGCGGTAGTGTGCCAGCATCTTGAGCATCAACCGCAGGTTCAGCCACCACTGCTCCTGGGGCATGCGGTGCCTGCCAGTAGAGCAGGCAGGCAGGGGTCAGGGGCCAGGTAGCTCCCAGGGACTCACACACACCCCTCGGAATCCCTCCACCACACAGCCCAGTCGTGGTGTCAGCATGTGTCTGGGGTCCCTCTCCCTCAGTCCTGATACCAGGGAGTCAGATGTATCAACCTTCAGACCTTGGTCCTGACCAGCCCTGCCTGCCCACTGCTGACCCATCTATCCCTTGTTCTCTGCCAATACCAAAAGACCTGGGCATGGTCAGTCCCTGTTCTCCAAGCCCTGTGGAGAAGACCCAATGGGATCGGGGTTCAAGCAGAGCCCCACAAGTCCCCTAGGGACCACTCCTCTCCGTGAGGCTCAAGCAGAACTTACTCGAAGTCGGTGTCTTTCTTGAGTTCTGTGACAGGGCTGAAGGCCACTGTCTTCTTCTGCAGGCCGATCACACAGGCTGAGTCGGGCGCGTTGGCAAACACCCGCCCTGAGGGCACAGGCATGTGGCAGTCCCTAAGGCCAGGTCCCACCCCGGGGCCCCGGGTTAGCCTCAGACACCACCCATGGCCCACCTACCCTTGCGGTAGACAGCCCGAAGCTTCTCTGACATCCAGAGCATGGCCTTCACTCCCAGCTTGGTCCCGTAGTTCCGGTCGAAGGGTGTGGGAGCACCGCCCTGAAACAGAGACCAGGCCATGCAGGTGAGCCAAGGCAGCTCAGGAACAGCCCAGCCCTCCCCATCCCCCAGGCCCAGTACCTCTCCACCTCAAAGTCCAGTCCAAAAGCCACCCCCGCCCCGTGCACTGCTAAGAGGGTGCCCCCCACCCCAGACCATGGTCCCTCGCCAGTGAGCAGCAACCCCCTAGGCAGCAACATGGGCACGCCCGGTGTGAGATGCCGAGGGCCAGCAGTGAACCAGGGCCTGCCAGGAAGGCAGGATCCCAGTCAGTCTGTCCTGGAGGGGGCTGGGCAGCCAGGTCTCAGCAGCCCACCCAGAGGCTTAGTAGGCAGTCGATATTGGAGACTGGAGCCATGAGTCAGATCCAGCAGGCCCTCATGTGGGCCTCACTGTGCCCTGCTCCTGCCCATACTGGCCCCTGTGGCTGAGGCAGCATTTGTCACCTTTTCTAGAAATAAAAAGTACTGACTAGGGAACCCAACCGCTTCTGGAGCGCATGCTGTGGTGGCTGCCAGGGAGGTGGGCAGGGGAAGTCAGCAGGGTGAACGTAAGCCTCACATCAGCAGCCCTGGCTGCCAGTCCCTGGGCTCAGAGCACCCACAGTGCAGGCTTCCTGCGGAGCCACCTGGGACTTGGCAGGGAGGGACCGGGTAGAAGGGCAGGTTCTCAACCTGGGATCCCCTAGGAAGGTAGTTTTCACCCTCATGAAACCTGAGCAAGGTGAATTTGGGTCCCCCACCTGTAAAATGGAGGTGACAGGCCCATGCACCATCCAGGGGCCCGAGACTGCATGGGCAGCCAGCTGGTTCTGACGTGAATGCGTGGGAGGTGCCGGCACAAGTACGTGCAGGGGAAAGGTCCTCCTGGGACCCCTTGCTCCCCAGGACACAACAGGAGCAGGAGCAAGGGGCCAGGCTGACTTGGACCAGGAAACCCACCTTCCAGAACCCATGCCACTGCCCCGCACCTGCTGCAGGTGACCCAGGACGTTGGTCCGACAGTCAAAGACGCCTTTGCCCTCTGACGAGTAGAGGTTGTACAGGAACTCTGTGCTGTAGTGTTCATGGCACTTCTCGTTGCTAAGAGGAGGTTGGGGCCAAGTGACAGGGCACTAGTCCATCCAGGTCTTCACCCAAGTCCAGGGCCCATCAGCCAGGCCATAGCAAACCTGACCCCCACCCAGCCCTTCCAAGGCTCCTCACTTGCCCCCCATAGCCCCAAGGGTCTGATGGGCCACACAGC